TGTCACATTTAGGGATTGTGGTTTTTTTAATTACTAACCCTATCTTGTTTTGTTTTATATAAATAGTATTAATTCACATTGTAAATAATCATTGGGTTTTTTTAAATTGTTGTTATCCCCCCCACCACAGACTTTGAAATGTACATATGGGGACTAGTTAGGATTTCATAGAGAATTTGAGGTATTATGGTGGACGCAGTAAGAAAGGTAGGAGTGAATGTGTTGTTTTGGTGATTGGACTATTGTTGGTATGTTTGGGTCCGTGTCTGTGACTAGCTAAGTTTAGAATTAAGACAGAAGAAGACCATCCTTCCCCCAACGCCCTTTTTTGGCCTTGTGCCACATTTTGTACAAACGTACAAATAAATAACTATTGTGCGTTAATGGCGTGCATGATTCCGGTCTTTTACTTCTCAAACACTGAGTGTTTCCGTTTGCTTATCTTCATATGTGACTCCCTATTCTTACTCTATGAATGCTGTAATTATGGGAAAATCGGTTGCATATAAATGCAATATTCTTCACATTTCTTTCAGGTTCAAATATTTTTGAAAGGTATTTTCAAGATAATTTTACTGGGGAAACTTCATGAGACTTTTAACAGTAACTTGACTGCTGAGTACATATTACGAAGACAAAGAGATCGAAGCTGTTACAGTTGGCATCATGCTATTTCCATGTAGTCAAATCAGCCTCATTTCTCCTGATTTCCACATATAAGAAGTTCTGTTCAAACTACTTTTCAATAATTACCCATTTTGGAGCGGACTTACGATGGATGCTTCCAGGAACACTGCAATATTAACATCTTCAAGGATTAATCTATATCTATTTTTCTTATCCGCATATTCTTATATATTTCTATATCATCATTAATTCTTTTTCTTTTTTTAAGAAATTAAACTGCACATATTCACTGTTATCGTTTCCTCTAGAACGGATCGAAAGCTTTTGTTTTTGGTAGTATGGAATGGTAACTGTTTTATTAGATATCTTCTACTTACATCTAATAAAAAATGTTGTTACAGTCAAAAGTATTCAAGTGGTGTGGTTTTTGTTATTTGTTATAGATCTTCGTGGTTTTTTAGCATTCGTTCTTAAGATTTGATGAAGGATTGTTATAACTCAGGACACGATGGAACTAACGTATGAACTCGGTCTAAAGGAAGGAGATTTGATGGAAGTTAAACCACTGCCAATTCGTTTCAATGGGTCCAAAACTTTTCAGGGAAATTGATGATATTAAAATCGTCAATCATTCTATTGAATAGCTGATTATTTTTCTTTCAGGCCTATACAATCTTTTTCGAGCTATTTACAGCCAGATAATATTTTTAGATCGTAAGAAGTTTTTAAAGATATTAATGATTTACTAGGGAGATTAATACATAAATTTAGTAAGAGGTGGAGTCATACCTTTCTCAAAACTATTTGCTTATATGTAAATATAACGAAACAGACGGCAATTCGAACTCGTCTATCCGATTTCTAATTCTGAGCACTTATATATTACACCCTCTGCACATCCAAGCTTACAGCACATTGGTATTCACAAGCGGTCACCCATCTGTATAGTCAATCATTGAAAGCGATTTACTGATAATATTAATAATAAAAAAAATGATATTCATGAACAAATTCTAAATAAAGGATTTATTGAATTAACCCAAGTATAATTTGAGACTTGTATACAGAAAAAAAAGGAACAACAGCAAATAAATCCCTTTAAATATAAATCATAATCCTTCCTTTAATTTTCAGAAGTTAGATACATGAAAGACGTCGATCTTCGACTCAATACAAAGTTAGATATACTGTTTTGGTAAGGGTCAAGTTTGTCTCACTAAGCAGAACATTTGAAACATAAACTGACTTCTAGGAGGATTTAATCATCAGAGATATCACTTGGGACGAAACTGAAGTAAACAAATAAATACAAGTTAAGCGTTTAGAACCGATTTTTAAAAAAAAGTGCTTGAATGCCAAGCGTGGAACAGCTACTTGTATTGATCGTATCTCGGAGACTACGTTAAAAATAAATATCAGTGGCCAATGTCTGTAACAATTTGATTCAATGCTAACACAGACACCTCGCTTTCTCATTGGTTGAACTCATTTTCTTGAAAGTAAGACTGAGGGAGAAAGTGTAAAAAAAAAATAGTTAATTAAAAACTTAATGTTGTGTTGAATTAAGGAATCATTAAGAGCCACCAGACGGAGGAGGGGGAGGAAGAACAAGAACAAGAAGAACAAGAACAAGAAGAACAGAAAAAACAACAACAACAACAACATGAACAAGAACAAGAAGATTGAAAAAGAAGAAAGAAAAAGAAGTAGAAAATGATAAAAAAGAAGACAGAAGAAGAAAAAAAAAGATAGAAAAAGAAGACAGGGGAATATATAAAAGGAGACAGAAGAAGAAGCTACATAGAAGGAGATGAGGAAGGAGAAGATAGGAAAATGACAAAGAAGAAGAAGAAGAAGAAGAAGAAGAAGAAGAAGAAGAAGAGGAAGAAGAAGAAGAAGAACAACAACAACATGAACAAGAACAACAACAACAAGATAGAAAAAGAAGACAGGAATATATATAAAAGGAGACAGAAGAAGAAGCTAGATAGAAGGAGATAAGGAAGGAGAAGATAGGAAAATGACACAGAAGAAGAAGAAGAAGAAGAAGAAGAAGAAGAAGAACAACAACAACAACAACAACATGAACAAGAACAATAACAAGAAGATAGAAAAAGAAGACAGGGGAATATATAAAAGGAGATCGAAGAGGAAGCTAGATAGAAGGAGATAAGGAAGGAGAAGATAGGAAAATGACAAAGAAGAAGAAGAAGAAGAAGAAGAAGAAGAAGAAGAACAACAACAACAACAACAACAACAACAACAACAACATGAACAATAACAAGAAGATAGAAAAAGAAGACAGGGGAATATATAAAAGGAGACAGAAGAGGAAGCTAGATAGAAGGAGATGAGGAACGAGAAGATAGGAAAATGACACAGAAGAAGAAGAAGAAGAAGAAGAAGAAGAAGAAGAAGAAGAAGAAGAAGAAGAAGAAGAAGAAGAAGAACAACAACAACAACAACAACAACATGAACAAGAACAATAACAAGAAGATAGAAAAAGAAGACAGGGGAATATATAAAAGGAGATCGAAGAGGAAGCTAGATAGAAGAAGATGAGGAACGAGAAGATAGGAAAATGACAAAGAAGAAGAAGAAGAAAACATTTAAATAATAAATGAATAATAAATGAATGATATATAATAATAATAATATATAAATATTAATACATATTTTAAAGAAAGTCATTTTTGTAAATCTGAGAATCAAACACCTATACGCGGTGTATACATCATTATATACCGAAGGAATGTTTGATTGATCAATGAATATCTTTATATCTTTCGAGTTATTTATATATGGCAAATATATGGCAATGTGGAAAATGTTTGCTCTGATAAGTTTCAAAGATGAACTGACGTCATTAGAAAAATAGTTTTATTTCAGAAATCGACATTAGCGAGATACATGATTTAAGCTAAACGTCGGAAAACTAAACTTTTACATTAACTCTACAATTCTAAAAATTTTATCTAATTCCAACTAATTAACTAAATCCAATTCAGGGTTTTCTTTGTATTTATTATGATTTTATTATTTTTTTTCAATACAATTTCTTTTCTATTATTGTTAGTTCTTTTGAATATGGCTCTTTTTAGATGAAAAGATTGATCTCAACACTGATTTTGGTGCCGTGCAAGTTCATTGAGGGTGTTTATTTTAATTATAACTCTCTTTACTGTTCATATGTGTGGGTGGTGTATAGCACCTCGGCATGAGACATCGAAGATTTAGGTTTGTTACATTAATTTATGCGCAACTATTATTCAGAATGGTATGAATCCAATTCCTGGGAAAAGTCATTTGGGATTCTAAAAAAATTCTTACGATCCAAATTATGTTTCGACATTAAATAACCCGCACAAGGTTGATAAACCGTGAATTTAAACATCAGCTAATTACGTTTGTATATTCTTTTGCTTAAATCATGGGGTCCCACACATATTTATAATATTAAATTATATATATGGAATAATCCGTTGGCATATAATTCAAGTGAATCCTATTAATACAATATAAAATATTAAATATTAAACTGATTCACTTCACACAGAGTGCTCAAAGTTTTAATCAAACAGAGCAATAACTTATCATCCACTGACTGGTTCGAAAACTCCTTGTAAATTTTATTTCAATTTATAAGGTGAAAATGATCATTAACCTAATTCCCATTCCTATTGTATATATATATATATATATATATATATATATATATATATATATATATATATATATATGCGTGTGTGTGTGTGTGTGTGAGTGTGTATGTGCGTGCGTGTGTGTGTAAGCACTTATCTACTTATGAGGGAAATGGAAATATATCAGTGCGTGTCTCCAGATGAGCAGTAGTAGAATGCATTTTTGGCAAAAGCTAACAAGGAAGGAAGGATGATGTTGAAGCAGAAATGGACAGCAGACCCTGGGGATTGAAGTGTGGAAATGTTTACAATCGAAAAGTGACGGACACTCTCATTCATATGTGGTTGCTGGTGAAGTAAGGCAGACAGTTCACAGAAATATTTATTCTTCACAGCGTTTTCCAGGCTATTAGAGACGCAATATTGATACCATACCCCGGCTCTGTTACTCGCAAGCATACTCAAAGAAATACCTGCATTTATCTCACCCTCTTAGAGGCACATATTGGTACCTAAGCAAATCTATCTATCTATCTATCTATCTATCTATCTATCTATCTATCTCCAATCCTGATATGGTTCATTCAACCTAAATCTTTATGTCGCTTTCTTCTACGTCTGTTGCTATCTATCTATCAATCTAAACCAAGTTATTTATGAATGTATTTAAACCTTTTCTGATAATTATTAGGAAAAATATCCATCTGTCTAAAATTCTTATCATTATAAGGAATGCTATCTATCTATCTATCTATCTATCTATCTATCTATCTACTTAAACCAAGATATTTATCAATGATTTTAAACCTTTTCTTGTCATTATTACGTATTTACACCATTTCTTTTCAGTATAAGGAAATCTATCTATCTATCTATCTATCTATCTATCTATCTATCTATCTATCTATCTATCTATCCAAACCAAGATATCTATCAATGTATTTAAACATTTTCTTCCTATTATTATGAAAGGCTGCGAATGGAAATTATTCTTTTTTCTATTTATTTATCTACGACATATTTAAACTTTTTCTCATCAGTGTGAGGAATGTTATCAAACTATCTAGATATCTCTCTCTATTTAAAGCCAACTATCTATGTATTTAAACCGTTTCTTATCAGTATCTATTTATCTATCTATCTATCTATCTATCTATCTATCTATCTATCTATCTATCTCCATCCGGGACATTATCCTAATAATGTGCAAATACCGTGAATGGAAATAATTCGTTTTTTTTGTTTTTTTTTTTATAATGGAACGCACAATCTATGTGTGAAATGAGCTATGGTAGTTGATAGAGATTTTAAATAGGTTGATAACAGAAAAATGATTTCACCAATATAAATGTAGAAAAATGAATTTCCATCCTCCTTAATCTCTCCCTCTCTCTGTATCTGTATATATATATATATATATATATGTGTGTGTGTGTGTGTGTGCGTGCGTGCGTGTGTGTGTATGTGTGTGTGGAGGGAGAGAGGGAATGTGAGAGAGATATAAACTAATAAATTTCTGTTCTCATATATATATATATATATATATATATATGTGTGTGTGTGTGTATGCATGTATCTATCTATCTATCTACGTATTTAAACCTTTTTTCTCATCAGTTTTAGGGAAGCTATCTGTTTATCTTTCTTTCTATCTAGTAAGCTATATATCTATTTCTGTATTTAAACCTATTTATCTATACATTTAAACCTTTTCTTATCCGTACTAAGAAAGCTATCTATCTATCTATCTATCTATCTATCTATCTATCTATCTATCTATCTATCTTCGTCCGGGATATTATACCAATAACATTCAAATGCTAGGAATAGAAATGATTCGTTTCCAAAAAACGCACATTTATGACGAATGACGTATGGCCATTGAAAGAGAGGATAGATAGGTTGATAACAGAAAAATGATTCTATGAATATAGATGAAGAAAAGATTACATCGAAATATGTTGAAAAGTCCTGTATCGGCCTCATATAATCTATTTTTTTTTATGCAAGATAAATTTGATCGCTGCGTATTGATATAGTTTGAGAAGCATAATTGGCGCCTCTGATTTGTATTAAAAAGTAGGTTTTACTGTAACGCGTTTAATGACAGACCCGTCATCTCCGGCTAGAAGATTGTCGCAATAAAACTTTTTCCATTGTTTAAAAAATGTGTATTATCTAGAATGTTATGACAGAAAGTAAGATGGCACTAAACAGGTAATGAATTAAAAATATAGAATAAACTTTATGTTTTCAGAAATAATAAAGAAAATAAAGAACTTCCTGAAAGGAAACCGCCATAAAATTAAAAAAAAGCAAAACATATTGCTAATAGTATTGACTCCCCCCTCTCTCTCTCTCTCTCTATATATATATATATATATATATATATATATATGGGACATAATTACTATTATGACACGCAGATCTTAGCATTTTAATGGGCATTCCTCTTCTTCCATGTGCCATGTCCCTCAAGAAGGAGGGCAGTTATGACTCTCCACAATTTCTTTTCCTTTGTAGCTCTTAATAAATTTTGTTATTTCTCCTACACCTTCCCCACCATGAGATTTACCCAAGCTCACTAAAATAGCCTATGCGTTGTTTTCCTCTGTTACACTTGCCTTCAATTCAATTGTGAGTATCATATTTTCTAAGCCCTCCTTCCTCATTACGTGCCCCCAAAATTTCAACTGCCTCTTTCTGATCATCGTTTTTGTTCACAGTTTCTCTAAATCTTCGTCCTTGCTCGCACGTTCGGACCTTGACATTCTCAGCATCCTTCTGCAGAACTACATTTCTGTTGCCTCGAGTTTCTTCTTCATCTGTGAAGACAGATATCACGTAACAGTTCAGTACTTTTTTCTTTGATTCTGACGAAATTTTTCTGTTTCTTAATACACTGCTTATTTTTATTTTTGGAATGCATCTTTCGATATGCCACTGCGCCTTCGGATTTCAGACTAGCACTTTTTTTATTTTTTTATTTTTATTTTTTAAGCGTTTCAGCACAAGCAAGGTGAGAAGCCACTAGGACGCAAGGGGTTACAGAAAATTTGGAGCAAGATCAGATAGGAGTGATAGAGGATAAGATGAGGAGAAGGATAGTGGATAGATCAAGGCAACTGCCAGCCTTGTAGGGCGCTTGAATTCATGAAGTCTGGGAACCAGCGAATGTAGCTCCTCGGGGCAATTACCATGAAAGTATTTGTAAAAAATACAGAGAGAGGCGACGGCGCGTCTGTGAGAGAGCGATTGTAGACGAGATGCCAGAACAGGGTCAATTATATTGCATATCCGCCTCTAATTCTAATAAGACGTTTACAAGACGCAACTTGTACAGATCATATAAAGGATATAATAAAGTTTTTATAGGCTCGAATTCTTTTTTCCATTATTTTTCATTTTATTGTAATCATGGATTGTTTAACCAAAATAATACATCATAAAGATAACCTAGGCTGTATCATTTACCAATAAGTTTACTAATTTTACTAATTACTAATTTTTTCTTAATTTGCCCTGCTGAAATTGGGGTGCATCTTATACAAACGTGCGTCTTATATGTTTTCAAATACTTTAATTCTGTTTAGCATATAATTTAGAACAGTAAACTACGTTTGGAAAATTTTAGCTCGTATAGTAGATACAGTTATCGTACCTACAGCTCTTTGTGTAGTCTTCAGCCGAATTAAAACTGGGTTATTTTTTTTATCAGAAGATGATTCGGTGTGAAATAATTGATACTAGTTCTAGATAATCGATCATGCCCAACCAATAGCGGTAACGAAATCACTATTTAATAATTATGCATCTCTTTTATATTGAGAGCATTGTGAACAGTTAGAAGCTTAAACTCTTCTTAAATACCCATCCTGTGGATGACGATAAATTATGTCCGACAGCAAGGCCTCTGATCAAGAGGTTTTAAGGAGCATAAAACCACCTCTTAATTGCTGGTGTTCCCAGGTTCACCCTGACCCGGGGTGGTTAGGGTCACAACTATGGGTTAATAGTTAGCGCCCAAATTGGGGTTAAAACACTATATAAGTGTAAAAATAGGTTTTAACCAGAAATACTCTGTAAAGAAATTATTACCAGTAATACATTTTTGAAAAATAGATATAACCAGCTATACATTTTTGAAGGCAAAATATTACGAGGAATAAAAATCTCGTCGGTATTAAATAACCCATTGAGGTTGATATGCCGTAAAACAAAACAAACCAAACCTATTTTCTTAAATACAATGCCACCTGCAGCCGCCAAGTGAATTAGTCGTATAAAATTCAAATGCTTGCTCGTCATTTGGTCCGGATTAAGAGAGGTGCAGTATCACCAGTTGCCGTAAAATCGGCACCTGTATTTTAAGGAGTTTGATCTTTTCTGGGAGCATCAGACTTCAGGCTCCACTTCCACTGCCAAGAAAGAAATATCGAACGCTCGCTAGATGGCGTTGCGAAAAAAAAGTACAAACAAAAAGGGCGGAAAACGGGCTCACTTTCTTTTCTACCTTTGATCCTTTCTTTACCCACAAGATGCCGTATGAAGAGAATGTGTTTCACATACCCTCTGGGAAACAAGTGTTACATGGAAAGACAACACAGCATGCAAACGCCTGAGGCTAATAACGCTACAAAGGCAATAAGGAATTCTTCTCGAACAGAACATTACACATACGTCCGTAAGTAAAAGGAGATGATCATCTCGACTTGTAAAGTTTAGCAAGCTAGAACAATCACAACTGAGTAGTGAGTTCGATCCTCACTAGTCGCCGGATAAGCTTACGGTCAAATCACGTTGAAAACACCGGTTCTCGTTCGATCACCGAAGTTAAGCATCGTAGAGCCAGGTCAGTACTTAGATGGGGGACCGCTTGGGAACACCTGGTACTGTAAGCCCCAAAGTCCAACCCTTCCTCACACAGTCGGTGGGGGGGTGTAAACGGTAGTGTCAGAGCTATACCGTCCGGAACTTCGTTCCTGGTAGGGCCACCAAAGGCGGACAGGTCTGACACACACGCCGGCTAACAAGGGCTCTGGTGAAAATCCAAGGAGCGTCTGCATCGGTAACCGGCGGTTTCTGGTCGTTCCTGTCTCTGCGTCTGTGGGAACCCCTGCGGCAAGCAAGAACGTTATCCGAGTAGGCCTGGGTTCCCTACTTCTGTAATTTATCCCAAGAATCTTCTTCTCATAACAGGAAGAAGCCGGCTCAATCCGCACAGGGTGAATGCCGCATCAATACAAAAAAAAAATAAGTCGCCGGATACTTTCGACCTTGTGGCACACCTAAGCTACACTTTGAAAAGGGACATTTCTAGTATAAAATTATGAAGTCGTTAAGTTGCTAAAATAGAAGGAACACTCCAATATGCAAATTACAAATGGAAGATACCGAAATCAAATGGTGCTACAAGTTTGGTAACTGGGAAGCGTATTAACAGAGGATGGGAAGTGCGACACTGAAATGCGAAGGTGATTTGATATAATGAAAGATGCCTTCCAAAAGCTGAGCAAAGTATTAAGAAAAACAATAACGTTAGAAACAAAGAAAGAAGTACTGAACTGTTATATAGTAGCAGTCCTACTCTATGACAGTGAATGCTGTACAATCTCCTCACAGATGAAGAAGAGAGTTGAACCAACAAAAAGCAGCAAAGATTTTCCAAGTATTTCCTCATTATGTACCCTAGAAATTTCAGCTCTTTCTTTCGGATGTTATATATAAGTGTCCTTTTTATTTCTATTTTCTCTAAAACTTCGTCGTTGCTCACATGTTCGGTCCATGGTATTTGCTAGCATCCTTGTGTAAAACCACATTTCTGTTGCTTGAGTTCGTTTCGTCTTCTCAGATGAAGTATTAAAGATTAACTGCCATATAGGAGGATTTATATTATCTAACAGTTCAGTACTATTATGGAGACAAGGGGGAGTAATGGATTCGATTCAGATTGAGGAATCGGAGAGCCGAGTTCGAATTAAAGTCGGATCCATTACATTCACTTACGAAAGGTATGGATCCTCTTTTCTCCCGCCCCCTATTGGTAAATAGCAGGACAAACTGGGTTCTATAGCCTTGGGTGGCAATCAGACTCCAAGAATTCAAAAGTGTATGTAGCCCTGGCGTAGCGCATACTATATATTGACTCGATGGTTCCGACTGCGGTCGAGTGATGACTCTTACCTTTTGAATTCAGAGTTTTCATTGCGAACGTCCCTTTTCATAGATGTATAGTATGTTAGACATTTTGACGGTCGTCCTCGAGTATAGAATCCAGAGGTTGGCAGTGAATATTTCGGAGACAGTAGGAAAGCGTAGTGCAGGTTCGCAGTGAATATCCCAGCAAAGTAGCAGAGCGTAGAACTTCCGTCTGTCATGTTCGCCTGACAAGTTGGCTCTGGTCATTCAGGTAGGAAACAAAGATGGCCGCCATTATACACGACGGAAACAGTGTTCAGCGTCTTCTGATTGGTCAACCTTCTATTGGTAGACTATAAAGGGAATTAAGTCATTTTGACTCGCTCACTAGTTACCTACATATATACACAAAAAACTGTAACATAGTGTGTTCTATGCCAGTAGCTCTTAATAAATTGTGTCTTTTTTCTTATCTCTCCTAAACCCTATTCTGCAATTCACTTACACAAGATCGGTTATGCATTGTTTTTTTTTTGTCCATATTGCCTTCAGTATGCCTTGTGAGTATCAAATTTTCCGAACCCTCTTTCCTCATTATGTATCCGAGAAATTTCAACTGTCTCTTCCTGATGTTAAGTATACGTGTCCTTTTGTTTCAATTTCCTCTAAAATTTCGTCGCTGCTCACACGTTCTGTGAGAACCCACGATAAACTCGGTCTTATACCATATACGACCCTCGTGGTTAGGGGCTGTTAAATATAGCAGGTGAAATCTGTTACTCAGATTCTGGCTGCTGTCGAACTCTCTGCCTTCGGGCAGAGAGGAACGCGGACGAGGTTATGCCGAAGGTCAGAGTCAGCCATCCATTTACTCAAGCTCATCACGTATGTTACTCGTTTCTTTCCTCTGTCGATCTTTCTCTCAATCTGTCCTGTGAGTATCAGATTTTCCAAACCGTTTTTCCTTATTACGTACCCCAGACTCTTCCTGATGTTAAACATAAATTTTCTTTTTCTTTGTGGTGTATTTTGATTGTTCCTTTCTCTCAATGGTCTTTTTGCATATTCTCTTGTGGGTAACTATTTTGTATTCTAATATTTTTGACACTTTACAGAAACCCATTTTACATGTTCTTTTTATCACTTTAATCTTCTCTTCGCATATTTGTTTGTTGTTATGGTCCAGGTTAGGACCAAGGAAGAACAACACGAACACAAGAGTAGAAATAACGAAGGTATATTACACGAAATAATAATACAAGATGTGGAAGGTGTCAGTATGACTGTCAGTTTGGTTTGGAGTGAACTACTATCGGCTCGACTCGATTCGATATTTACTTGCCCCCCTCCCATGAGGGAAAGACGTGGCATAAGGCCGAGTTTCACGTAGGTTTTCCGAGCTCGTAGGCTCGGCCATAAAATGCCCGTAGAAATTGTAAAAAACAGAATTGGGTTGGTCAACTTCCCCGAACGAGGCTCTACCCTTCGGCAGAGGCTTGTCCGGGTTCCTCTCTGCTCAGAGGCAGAGAGTTCGATCGTCACGCCGAGAAGCTCGGCTCGATTCGATATTTACTTGCCCCCTGCCAAGGGAAAGATGTGGCACAAGGCCGAGTTTTATGTGGGTTTTCCGAGCCCATAGGCTCGGCCAAAAAATGCCCGTAGAACCTGTATGAACGGGATCGGGTTCGATCAACCTCCCCGAACGAGACTGCCCTTCGACGGAACCTCGTCCGGGTTCCTCTCTGCTCAGAGGCTGAGAGTTCGACAGTCAAGCCGAGAAGCTCGGCTCGATTCGGTATCTAGCCACCACCCCACGAGGGTTGTATGTGGCGCAAGGCCGAGTTTTACGTGGGTTTCCCGAACCCGTAGGCTCAGCCCAAAAATGCCCGTAGAAACTGTAAAAAACAGAATCGGGTTGGTCAACCTCCCCGAACGAGGCTCTACTCTTCGGCGGAGCCTAGTCCGGTTTCCTCTCTGCTCAGAGGCAGAGTTCGACCATCAAGCCGAGAAGCTCGGCTCAATTCGACCCTCTCTCATGAGAGGTGTTGTATACATAGTGTTAGGAAGAGTTCATTCTGTAGTTATAGGTAAGGACCCATGACATTAGTTAATTAAAATTTAAGTTGTTTTTATGTTAAAATTAAAGTTGTTTTTTTAGTAATATTTTGCATACCGTATCAACAGAAACAAGACTGTTAAAACTGCATTCTCACCTCAATTATTTGGCTGTTAATTTTTTAGTGCTTACCACAATCTTTCTTTCATCTTTCTTTTCATGATTTTCATGAGTTCCGGTTTAATTTACACTTAAAACACTACCAGTAGTAGCAAACGTCTTTTGATTGCTCTGTAGACTTTCTTTGAAAATTACCAGACACATCTCTCTTTCATTTATTCACTCTCTCTCTCTCTCTCTCCATGTTTAAGCGGGGTTTACGGGGATTTCCCTACATAAACTCGGCCTTGTGCCACATCCTACTCCGTGGTAGATAGGTAAATACTACTAGGTGGAATCAGTTTAGTACGACTCAGGATTACGTGAGAACTACCGACCTTCCAATAGTAGCACTACTGGATTCAATTGCGACGACCTTGTGCATAGCTGTTATCTTTATTCTTATTGTACAGGTTTGTACAATAAACTTTACTTATTTTATCCACCTTGTTTTTCAAGTAAGTATTCCTATTAGCACGGAAGATAACGTAGTCATAAATAAGTAGGCTTGGTCCCGCAAAGATCAGGCGTTTTTCGGTCGGGTTCAGTCTTTTCTTCTACTTCCTCTTTTTATTTGAAGATAGAAGCAGATGGAGAGAAGTTTAGAGATAGATAGATAGATAGATAGATAGAGAGAGAGAGAGAGAGAGAGAGAGAGAGAGAGAGAGAGAGAGAGAGAGAGGTAATGGTTTAAAGGAAAGCGGAAACACCTTATTTTAATTTGAATTATGTTTGTTTATATATCTTATTTTTAAATTTTATTTTATTTTTGTCGGTACTCACTACAGAATCGCAAACAAATAACTCTATCAGATAACAGAAACTATATCTCTTGAGAGATTTTTCGACAGCAGTATCAAACTAAGATGAATAGAACATGTACGTGGAAGCGAAAGCAATGATATAATTGAGATGTTAACATTCCACACTACTTCAAATAGAAAGTTCGTAAGAAAAAAAATCCGTCAATACTGAAATATATTTTCCTAAAAAGAAAAAAATAAGAGACAAAATATCAATCGAGAGTAGCACTGAATAATTGGCCAATAAATACACAAGGCTTTCATACAAAGAAACGGTTAATATCACCATTACCATCTATATATATATATATATATATATATATATATATATATATATATATATATATATACTATCTCTCTCTCTCTCTCTATATATATATATATATATATATATATATATATATATATATATATATATATATATATATATATATATATATATATATATATATATATATATATATATATATATACAATCCTGATATGTTTCATACATCCTAAATCTTTATGACACTTTCTTCTACGTCTGTTTTTCTTTCTTCTCTCTCTCTCTCTCTCTATATATATATATATATATATATATATATATATATATATATATATATATTCCACCCAGTGTGTTTCATTCAACCTGAATCTTTATCATACTTTCTACGGCGTGTCTCTTTTCTATCTATCTATCTATCTATCTATCTATCTATCTATCTATCTATCTATCTATCTCAAATCCTGATATGTTTCTTTCAACCTAAACTTTAGGTCACTTTCTTCTAAGTCTGTTCCTATCTATCTATCTATCTATCTATCTATCTATCTATCTATCTATCTATCTATCTAATTTCGTAAGGTATGTGGATATATCTAAAGCTTTATAATTGTCTCATCCTGAATATTTGTAGATGGAAAGAAAGCAACACGTTCGTAGTTCGATCTTAATTGGCCGTCTTAAAAACTTGGATTAAAGAAAACAATAAGAAAATCAATCTACCTATTTCAATTAATTTTAATATTTTGGGATACGTTTCACGGGCTGGTGAACGGGGGCAGAGAATACATCAATCATTAAATGTGTAGCACATTTTAAGAAGTGCAGATTGCGAAGAGACTCGTCTTTTCAGCAAATGAATAAGACCAGAAAATAAAAACGAACCGCCTCTGGCTTCAGTGTTAACCATGCGGCTATACTCATAAGAGCATTCGTACGATATGCAAATTCAGTTAGGTTGAGGCAAATTGGAAATAACGACGCCAGCAGCAGCAAACAGAAGAAGAAGAAAAAAAAAAAAAACATCAGAACTAGTTCAGTGACATTTGAATGCAGTTTCTTTCGTTAGATGTTTCCATCATTTCCTTTACACTGATCACGTTTTGTCAGCTAGAAAGGCGACGCACCAACGGCCTCACGTATCTACTCAGTATGCTACATGCATAATCGCATTAAGGGCAGTTGATTAGTACACTATTCTATTTGAATGACTATCTGACAAATCATATCTTAGCATCTCAGATGCTTTCTGTATATATATATATATTTCTCTCTCTCTCTCTCTCTATCTATCTATCTATCTCCCTATATATATATATATATATATATATATATATATAAAATATGTTGTATATGGTATCCAACGAGAGAAAAATGTTGTAGTGGTTCCAACATATTAAAAAGATATTAAAGAAGAGGGTGCCGCAAACGTTTTTGGTTGTAATGTGGATTTATTGAGAAAAATATTATACTTTGTTTTACATAATTTCACGACACGTGTTTCTGGTCTGGTCTCGCAACCGTCTTCAGGTGAAATATGTATATGTATATGTATAAAGATTTAGGTGTGTTTTCTGCGAATATGAATGTGTTTTATTATAGTGTGTGTGTGTATATATAGAGAGAGAGAGAAAAAGAGATAATTATATATACATGTGCGTAGATCTGTTTCATCTATCTATCTATCTATCTATCTATCTATCTGTCTGTCTGTCTGTCTGTCTCTCTGTGTGAGTGTGTGAATGCGCACGTTTTTAACAAAATATATCTTTTTATTTTTTAAATCAGGTAAAGTATTTTAACCTGACGCACCTGCAGGTACATGGCGTCAGATGAATTTGATCCAGAATACATACGTATACACACACACACACACGGACACAGATACATACTTATATATATATATATATATATATATATATATATATATATATATATATGTGTGTGTGTGTGTGTGTCCATTTTTGGGTGTTGTCGTTTGTGTGAGTAGACCTGTTTCAATCTCTCTATGTGTGTATGTGTGTGTGTTTGTGTCTGTGTGTGTGCGTAAGCATGTGCGATTGTAACAGAATGTATCCCGATGTACATGCAATATAAGGTCGTTTAACCTGATGCACCCACATGTGCATGGGGTCATATTCCCAAAATAATCCATCTGTTATATTTGATGCAGAGTATATATATATATATATATATATATATATATATATATATATATATATATATATATATCACTATGCATGTGTGTGTAGGTCTGTTTCATTTTATTTATCTATCTATGTCTGTATACGTATGTTTGAGTGTGTGTATGTCTGTGTGTTTGAATGTGTGTGTGTATCCAGGCGTGGTTGCGTGCGTGCGTGTCTGTGGCGCGCATTTAACAGAATATATCCCGATCTTCATGCAACACAAACTCTTTTAACCTCAAGCACCCACGAGTGCATGGGGTCAGATCCAAAAAAATAACCCGTGTTTTAGATTTGCTACATAACATATATAAACTGTTTTACTCTCAAACTTTTTTACTCTATTTATACACTACAGGCAATAAATTAGAGGAGGCCCACAGAATTTCAGGGACTCGCCCAAATGTCAAAAGTTACTTTCTCGTTTTACGATCTCACTTGGCGTCATAAGTACATTCCCTTCAAGAAATATTTTATCATATTGCTGGCTAATGTTGGTCTTAGGTCTGGGGCGTTTACAATGTTTAATCAACCCCATCTTTAAAACAGTGGACGCTATGAGTTAAATATTATCGACGTCTTAACTTAGTATTAAAGCATTAAACGAATGAAAATTAATAATTATTAAACACAAACAGTGACCCCGATTCATTTGGTCTGCATTGTTTATGTGAATATATACAGTTGCGTGAAAAATCTTGGGTCAATTATATAAAATGATTGCTCACTTTTATTTTATTAAGGTAACATTTTTTAGCTGTATAATTTTATGAATAGTGTCTGTGAACATTTTAAGATTGGGAAACACGTTGTTGCTTTTTCATAGGTGCAAGGGAAGATGCGCCGCTTTAAGTAAATTGAAGCTGAATAAAGGTCATGCTAAACTATTGGACCAATGAAAAATCTGGGATAATAAAGTCATAATGATATGCATATTTCTAATTAGGAACAGTTTCATCGTATTAGCATGACCGTCAGGTGCCTTAGCAAGTTAATGTTAGTTGAACATTGGCTTGCATTTTCACGCTAAAATTATGGATTAAATTTCTGCTGAAATAAAGGTGAAGTTTGTGATGTTGAAGGGAACAATGAATCAATGAGAGAGAGAGAGAGGGAGTGAGAGAGAGAGAGGGGGGTAGCTGGTAATTTAAAAAGACAGTGTACAGACCAATCAAAAGACGTTTGACTACTACTGGAAGTGTTTTAAGTGTAAATTAAACCGGAACTCATGAAAATCAGGAAAAGAAAGATGAAAGAAAGATTCTGGAAGGCAATAAAAAAATTAACAGCCGAATAATTGAGATGAGAATGCAGTTTTAACAGTCTTGTTTCTGTTGATACAGTATGCAAAATATTACTAAAAAAAAACAACTTTAATTTTAACATGAATATAACTTAAATTTTAATATAAAAACACCATTAACCAACAAATATGTGAAGAGAAGATTAAAGTGATTAAAAGAACATGTGAAATGGGTTTCTGTAAAGTATCATAAATATTTGAATGCAAAAGAGTTACCCTCAAGAGAATATGTAGAAAGACCATTGGGAGAAAGAAACAATTCTAAATACACCACAAAGAAAAAGAAAACTTATAATTAACATCAGGAAGAGTCTGGCGTACGTAATAAGGAAAAACGGTTTGGAAAATCTGATACTCACAGGACAGATTGAGAGAAAGATCTTCAGAGGAAAGAAACGGGTAACATTCGTGATGAGCTTGAGTAAATGGATGGCAGAACACGGTTTGGGAGAAATAAAAAAAAACATATCAAGAGCTACAAGTGAAAGAAAGATATGGAGGGCCATGATCGCTTACGTCCTGTAGGGGCACAGCACGCAAAAGAAGAAGAAAGTGTCCGCGTAATGATGAAGAATTGAATCAAAAGCGATAGTAGAAAAAAAAATTGCTAAAAGTTGTTGATACTCCAAACAGCCAAACTATATTAGTTTACAACGATTTAACTTTCTGCCAGACTATTAAGATGGCGAAAATGATCGACATGACAGTACTTTTTGACATGAATCACGTGAACGGACAAGGGTTCTTGTGGATGAAGTTGTTTATCTTTTGGAAGACAGGTCAGCACTAAGACCTTGATATAATTGAACCATTGTGGAGGGAAATGAAGAAACAAGTGCTACTACGAAAACCATGCAACATGATGGATATTTGGGATTACTTCCAAAAAGAAATGCAAAAATACAAATTGAGAAAATCTTGACTTTGTTCCATTCCATGCGACATCAAGTTGCGGCAATTGCAAGAAGCAACGTCAGCAAAAAACTAATTACTAAATCCAGACTTTGACGTTTTGTAAATTTTGTAATAATAACCATCACATTTTGCAAAGAAAAATTAATTCGTTTTTAGCTTAAGAGCTGAAAGGTTGCCTAATATTTTGACATGGTTTTTTTCTATGCTTAAGATTCTCTATCGTCGATCATACAGCGTTAATTATTATACAGAATCCTGTTATCGAGTTAATCACAGTATTTTGAGGCAAAATTGACAAAAGTAATTAATTTACCAAGGTGGCACAACTTCAGATTATCTATCTATCTATCTATCTATCTATCTCAGTTTGTTCATTATATATCTTTTTATTCTTTCTTTCTTTCTTTCTTTCTTTCTTTCTTTCTTTCTTTATATCTCAGTTCACTATCTATCTATCTATCTCAGTTTGTTCATTTTCTTTATTTCTTTTTTCTATCTATCTATCTATCTATCTATCTATCTTTTTCATCAGTTTATTCATCTATCTATTATCTATCTATCTTTCTATCTATTACAGTTTGTTCTTTCTTTTCCTTCTTCTTTCTTTTTCTTTTTCTTTCTTTCTTTTTCTTTTTTCATTTTTCTTTTCTTTCTTTTTATCTTTCTTTCTTTCTATCACAGTTTGTTCACTTCCCTCTTTCCCTCTTTCTCTCTCTTTCTTTCTTTCTTTTTTCTTTCTTTCTTTTTTCTTTTTTTCTTTCGTAGTTTGTTCATTTTCTTTCTTTCTTTTTATCTTTCTTTCTTTCTTTCTTTCTATCTCAGTTTGTTCACACCCCTCCTTCTTTCTTTCTATCTATCTATCTATCTATCTATCTATCTATCTATCTATCTATCTCAGTTCACTTTCTTCCTATCTATCTATGTAACTATCTAGCTAACTACATCAAAGCTATAATATTAAACTGCTCTTTTAAGTTTGACATATGTCTCAACAGTTCAGTTTTAGAATCGCTAGACTCGACAGAAATTTGATTAAAGTGATGAATGTTTGCCTAGAATTGACCTAATCTTTAAAAGGAACTGATAACAGAGAAATGGGGCACAGTGTGCAAAGCAATCCCCAAACAACTCTTACGTTGGAATTAAGAGTTTTATGTTTCCTCAACTGGGTGCTTACTATTCACGTATATTGTTCAAAGAAGAAAATTCTTCATAGAAATAACGGTTATATTGTTTTAAGAAATCTTAAGTATAAAGAAAAGCAGCAAAAGTGTGGAAAGAAATATAGTAAGCTTTTTATCAATTTTGTATAACTTTTTTTTTTAATTATCCCATATGTAATTTTTCTAAAAATCCTACGGAAACCCTCATAGCGTATAGGACTATACACTCAACAGGCAAAACCTTGTTTCTGTCGTTTCTCTAGCCAGTAGGATTTTATGGGATGGATTGGCTCGGCCCATACAGAAACGATCTTGGAGACAGAGTCTTACTCCAATATTTTATGTTATTAACCAAGTCTGAGGTCATATATCTGGTGGGTGGGAAGAAATAGTTTCAAACCTTTTCCAAGTGTATTTTCAATGATCCCCCTTGAGTTCCAGGTTTCAAGCCACATTTCGTTGAAATATTGGTTCCCGTAGGATCACAGAAGTTAAGCAACGTCGAGCTTGGTCAGTACTGCATGGGTTACCGATTGGGAATACAAGGCGCTGTAAACTTGAATGTGCAGGTGGTGTACTAGATAATGGCTTGAAATTGTTAATCGTAGAACCGCGTTCCAATACTCATTGGGTACGTTATATTCACTTTTAACGCATATATCCTTGGTTAAGGTATGTACCCACCACATGTCCCCACAATTGTGGGTTAATGAACAAGACATATCATTGAAACCATTATTATCTTCAATTGTCTCTACATTTTTGAATTCATAGTTGTCCTTCTCCTGGACTGGTTGTTAATCACAGCTAAAGAGATCAGTCTGTCTTGCTATTTAACCCCATGTCTTCTAGTTTAAAAATATCTACAAAGGGTTGATAGGTTGTAGAAAACATTGCACATTGTACTAGAAGTCATTTTGCGAACGGAGGAGATATATTTTATGATTCTGGATGTAAATTATTTTTCTAGGATTCCGAAATTACTGACTTTTAATATACAGTGTAACCCGGATATAAGAGAGTTGTCGGGACCGGAGAAGAAGTCTCTTATATCCGGGTTTCTCTTATATCCGGGTTTGATCTATTTTATATACATTAACACAGGCTCTAATTTGGGACCAGAGAAATATCTCTTATATCCGGGTTTCTCTTATATCCAGGTCTCTTATATCCGGGTTACACTGTATCATCAGGTAAATAAATGTATTGTCTTTTAAATCAAGTCATCTAATTCTTTTCGTTAGTCTAAGATTAATTCTATACATGAAAAGGTAATTGTTTGAAGAACTTCCTTCTGGGAACGATATGCGCCAGCAAAAATCTTTACACCTTGTCTTTCCTTTATCACTATATATATATATATATATATATATATATATATATATATATATATATATATATATATAGTGGGCAAACGAAGGACAATATATATATATATATATATATATATGTTCAAACAGCTTTGGTTAAATAATTTAGACAGATTATTTCTATTCATTTTGGTTTCGATCCTTTCATGTGTAAGGATTAATTTCTGGTAGCTGTGGAAAATCGATTTAGAATCATACCAACGTTTTCTTTCGAATAATTTTTGTTTTCCTAAGTACATCAATATCATCTGAGACCATATTCAGAGGGTTAAATTATCTGTCAATATGTACACGTATTACTATAAATTCCAAACGTTTTTGCTGTTCGTGTTACTGTGCTTAGCATCGTTCTCATTTGAATTCAAAATTACGAAGCTCGTTTTCAATGTAAGGAAGGCAACTTTTTACTTATTAATTATTATTTTTAATTCATATATATATATATATATATATATATATATATATATATATATATATATATGTATGTATTATGTTACAGTCACTTAAAAAATTTGTTGCTATTGAATTTGATTTGTGCTTTAATTCTCTTATATAAAAGTCATACAATTTTACGTTTTACTTATTATTATTCTAATCTATTTTCAACTAATATCTGTCTAAAATATAAACTCGAGCAAGAGTGTCCCTTTAAATGCTGTAGGACTAAACTATATATATACATATATATATTATAATATATATATATATATATATATATATGTGTGTGTGTGTTAATATATATATATATATATATATACTATACAGAATATATATATATATATATATATATATATATATATATATATATATATATATATATATAATATAATACCTTATACATTCTACACACACACACACACATATATATATATATATATATAAATATATATATATATATATATATATATATATATATATATATATATATATGTGTGTGTGTATGTGTATAATGTTAATCATTTCACCACAAGGCGATAATGCCACTAAGAAGCAATGAGTTGCTGGGGTTGAAAGAAATTGAGTAAACTTTCATGAAAAGAAGGGACAATAAAAGTAGAGAATTTCAGGCGAGTTACGTTTCATTTAAAGTTTGAAAAACGTAGGTAACATGAGGGAAGCCAGAAACTGGAATCAATCTCCTGAGTATATATAAAAAAAAACTCATTCCTGACTCTTTTTCTATCCAGACAATTTTTTATTACTCATCAGCCCAATGAAAATGATTACGATGAAACAATGTCTAGGAAATGTCTTCCTGTATGAATACAAACTCATTTTTGCATCGAATCATTACATGCGATGAGAAATGGATACGCTTTGACAGCAGTAAGCCAGTAGACCAGTAGTTAGATTCCAGCCAGAAAAATACACAAAATGTCTATAAAAAAAAAGGTTATTTGTTACTGTATGGTGGTCTTTTAAAGGGGTTATTCATTATTCATTCTTGCCTCAAAGGAAAACAATAACAGCATCCTTGTATTGTGGAGAAATTGAGTGAATACACAAAATATTAAAAAAATACAAAAAAAAACCAGAAAACATTGTAAACTTGTGAATAGGGAGGGCGCGATTTTGATGCACCCAACGCACGGTCGCGCGCTTCTCAATCAACTGACCAAAAGCTGCATAGCTTCAATTATGAAATTTTGCCTCATCCTTCATATTCAGCTGATGTCTATCTTATTATCACTTATTTAAGCATTTTGACTTTTTTTTTATACGCAATAAAACATTCTCCAATAAAGAATTTTTTTAAAGATGGCATCAAGAATTTAGAGATACGTTGGAGAACAATCAACATGGTGCCTATTTCAACTAAATAAATTAGTTATTCATTTCAGAAGTCTATCGTTCATTTCCTATAAAGTGCATCATTTCTTGCGTGAGAACGTAACATATATTTTCACTGGCAAGTCAAAACAACTAAGAGAGTGATGAGGGATATTGAGTGATTTTTTATTATCTACGTTCCATGTACGCGTTAGAAGCCCACTTAAAACTTGGCCTTGTGCAACATTCCGTTCAAGTAGTCGAGTATATATATATATATATATATATATATATATATATATATATATATATATATATATATGAGATAAAATGACGTAAGTGAAATATCCGATGAATTACGTAAAAATGAAATATGTGAAAACCAACTGGGTGTTGAAATTAAAAATGAAAATGATCGATATGAAACATCAGTCTAAGTACGTAAGAATGAAATATGTGTTTATATATATATATATATATATATATATATATATATATATATATATATATATATATATATGTGTGTGTGTGTGTGTGTGTGTGTGTATAAAGATACAATTTAAAATTTGGGAATGTTAATATTATTAATAGCGAAATTCTCTAGCAAGACTTAATTAGATATTAACTTACTATCAGTGTTCTTTGAATAATCAGATCATTATTTTCGAATTGTTGTCAGATTGAAGACACTTGCCAAGTACTTTCAACAATTTCAAAACGTCATCTTCAGGTCGCAATTTTTTCCAAATCATAGGCAAACACCGAGACGAAATATGTGTAGACCGAAAGATATTTTTTAAACAACTCGATATTTAATTTAATTCTTTGTATAATTTTTTTATACTATAAATTATAAGCTGCACACTCTAATATATACATACATACACACACACACACACACACACACACACACACACACACATATATATATATATATATATATATATATATATATATATGGTGACTCAAAAGTCACTATACACTTTCTTTTTTCTTTTTCGTTTCAGGTAGCATTCGGAGAGACGTAAGCCTAATTACATTTTACAGTTTTTTTAAGTGTATAATTCCCTTATGATGTATCTGGGTAACACGACCACCGTTACAGGGGAAATTTACCTGAAGATGCTGCAAGATTTTGCTGTGCCACAACTTCAGGTGAGGAGTGAACTTGCCAATGTCTTTTTCAACAAGACGCTGCCCCTCCCAACTTTGCCACATTCGTGAGGGATTTCCTGAACATCAAATTCCCTGCCCGATGGATCGGTCGAAATGGCCCCCCGCCGAATGGGCTCCGTGCTCTCCTGACTTCACACCTTGTGACATTTTTTGGGGTGGTATCTCAAAAGCAAAGTGTATGCAACTGTCATAGCTTGAGTAAAGAATCCACACGGCCTGCAGCGAGGTCGGGGAAAACATGCTGGAAATCGTCGGTAGGGATGCGTCCAAAGGTGGCTGAATGCCGTCGAAAATGGAGGCGGTCATGTGACGGTATACAGTTTTCAAGGTGTTAGAACGTAAGGGGAAGTCCAGCAAGTAAAACTGCAAAGTCTCCTTTGATGATGCTAAATATATAAATAAGTTCATTTTCTTGTTCATTTTTTTAGGAAATGATTAAATGTGTATATTTAACCTATATATATATATATATATATATATATATATATATATATATATATATATATATATATTCAACATACAAACAATATAAAATCTGGTAATATGAGTCTTTCTTCTAGGACGACTCAGTCTGCACATGATTCGGCAATAGGCCAACATCTACTTGATAATCTCGACTGTGCCACCAAATATGGAGATACATTTTCGTTGTTTTGCCAAGAGCACGATCTGCACAACATTTGCGATTTCTCGAAGCGGTTATCATTAAGTTACATCAACCAGATCTGTACAAGCAGAAAGAACATTTCGTTCGCTCCTTACGTTTGTTTGGAGGGTCAGAAGTGAAGATTTTTTTTACCAATTTTGCACTCAGTTGGAACTGTTTATTAGTTATTTTAATCGTGAATTATTTACTATTATTTTTTTTTAATCGTGTTCCTCAATTAGTATATTTTGCTTGCAAATAGTATTCTTGCTTCTTCTGATTTGTGCCAACGGTTACGTTTGAAACAGTGTTGGCCGAAAAGGATCCCGTCAGGAAAAGAAAACGACGAAATCCGTCGTGTTTTTCCAGTGTTTGTATTCTCTGGTGTTAAGTTCTTTTTCTAATATATTTATAATATATATATATATATATATATATATATATATATATATATATATATATATATAGATAGATAGATAGATAGATAGAGAGAGAGAGAGAGCAAAATGAACCTCTAAAATAACTCTGAGCTCATATCAAAATGCAGATACGGAAACAATTTTTTACTACGGTTAACTAAAAATCAAACGAGA